ACACAAGGATGTTATCTTTGTTTTACAGTTACTGTCCCAGAGATCAGTTGTAGAGGTAGGGACACAAGGATGTTATCTTTGTTTTACAGTTACTGTTTCTATGATCAGTTGTAGAGGTAGGGACACAAGGATGTTATCTTTGTTTTACAGTAACTGTCCCAGAGATCAGTTGTAGGGAAACAAGGATGTTATCTTTGTTTTACAGTTACTGTCCCAGAGATCAGTTGTAGAGGTAGAGACACAAGGATGTTATCTTTGTTTTACAGTTACTGTCCCAGAGATCAGTTGTAGAGGTAGGGACACAAGGATGTTATCTTTGTTTTACAGTTACTGTCCCTATGATCAGTTGTAGAGGTAGGGACACAAGGATGTTATCTTTGTTTTACAGTTACTGTCCCAGAGATCAGTTGTAGAGGTAGAGACACAAGGATGTTATCTTTGTTTTACAGTTACTGTCTCAGAGATCAGTTGTAGAGGTAGAGACACAAGGATGTTATCTTTGTTTTACAGTTACTGTCCCAGAGATCAGTTGTAGAGGTAGGGACACAAGGATGTTATCTTTGTTTTACAGTAACTGTCCCAGAGATCAGTTGTAGAGGTAGGGACACAAGGATGTTATCTTTGTTTTACAGTTACTGTCCCAGAGATCAGTTGTAGAGGTAGGGACACAAGGATGTTATCTTTGTTTTACAGTTACTGTCCCAGAGATCAGTTGTAGATTATGGACACAAGGATGTTATCTTTGTTTTACAGTTACTGTCCCAGAGATCAGTTGTAGAGGTAGAGACACAAGGATGTTATCTTTGTTTTACAGTTACTGTCCCAGAGATCAGTTGTAGATTATGGACACAAGGATGTTATCTTTGTTTTACAGTTACTGTCCCAGAGATCAGTTGTAGAGGTAGGGACACAAGGATGTTATCTTTGTTTTACAGTTACTGTCCCAGAGATCAGTTGTAGAGGTAGGGACACAAGGATGTTATCTTTGTTTTACAGTTACTGTCTCTATGATCAGTTGTAGAGGTAGAGACACAAGGATGATATCTTTGTTTCACAGTTACTGTCCCAGAGATCAGTTGTAGAGGTAGGGACACAAGGATGTTATCTTTGTTTTACAGTTACTGTCCCAGAGATCAGTTGTAGAGGTAGGGACACAAGGATGTTATCTTTGTTTTACAGTTACTGTCCCAGAGATCAGTTGTAGAGGTAGGGACACAAGGATGTTATCTTTGTTTTACAGTTACTGTCTCTATGATCAGTTGTAGAGGTAGGGACACAAGGATGTTATCTTTGTTTTACAGTTACTGTCTCTATGATCAGTTGTAGAGGTAGGGACACAAGGATGTTATCTTTGTTTTACAGTTACTGTCCCTATGATCAGTTGTAGAGGTAGGGACACAAGGATGTTATCTTTGTTTTACAGTTATTGTCCCAGAGATCAGTTGTGGAGGTAGGGACACAAGGATGTTATCTTTGTTTTACAGTAACTGTTTCTATGATCAGTTGTAGAGGTAGAGACACAAGGATGTTATCTTTGTTTTACAGTTACTGTCCCTATGATCAGTTGTAGAGGTAGGGACACAAGGATGTTATCTTTGTTTTACAGTTACTGTCCCAGAGATCAGTTGTAGAGGTAGAGACACAAGGATGTTATCTTTGTTTTACAGTTACTGTCCCAGAGATCAGTTGTAGAGGTAGGGACACAAGGATGTTATCTTTGTTTTACAGTTACTGTCCCAGAGATCAGTTGTAGAGGTAGGGACACAAGGATGTTATCTTTGTTTTACAGTTACTGTCCCAGAGATCAGTTGTAGAGGTAGGGACACAAGGATGATATCTTTGTTTTACAGTTACTGTCCATTTGATCAATTGTGTTACAGCTGTTTCTGCCTCCTCGATGGACAATAAATATTCGTAAAGAAAGTTCATGAGAAAATAAACTTTCATGAAAAGAAAAAGATGATGGTGGGTTGTTGGTTGTCATGGTGAGATAGGTAAACTTTCAGAGAAATAATCACTGGTGAATATTTCACTAATGGTAAAAATAGAAAATACAAATGAGGTCATTTAAGGGCATGTACCAAAGTTGGTTTCAGGGTATATAATGCAAATGTCTTTCTGACTGGACAATAACTTCCAAGGTCTTACAAGTAGAATTAGGAGAACTGGCATGGGGAGACAGATTTGTAAAGTTTGGAAAATATCAGGATGTGTTCGCATATATATCTCTATAAGTGTAAGGGCATGTGTGGAGGGTGTGGCTCCAGCAATATTTTGATGAATTAACAAGATGGCTGTCAACCATCAATAACCATTTGTACCCATTTAGAACTTCTCTTACAAGGTGTCGTTTAATTGTAAAGCTGATGTACGTGGTCGGTGAGAGTAAACAAGCATATCCTGACAGACATTTTTGCTGACACCATTGCTAATTAGCGAAAATCACAAACTGACACTGTTAGCTGAGATGATTGAGAGATGTGTTCAGTGAAATCGACCAAAGCAATATTGAACCACCGACTGATATTCTGGACGCCAGTCAAAGTTGTCTGTAGTTACGCAATAATATTAGTTCATGAGACACACATTTACCTGACATTCTTTTAACATTATCAGATATGTGAAAAGTACGAAAATGTACTCAAATATTATTGGTTGTGCACCGCTCAATCTAAATTTGGACATTTGTCGATCACTTTGCACCATAGTCGCCACTTCGATCAACATTTAAGTCTTACTGAGTTCTAGATGTACAAAAAAGTTGTATGATGCAGTTTAATCCAGTGGTTCTATCTTATCCAGGTTGGTATGAAACAATATTATTCACTTGCATATCTTTTATGACTTTTCAACCCCTATTTACCTGGACATCACCGTGACATTTTTCTACAGTCAAAACTACCAGTGACAGTGTTTATCATTCTCTGATAGAATATCTTTTATCAGAATCAATATTTCAACATATCTGACCATGTGACCTTGAATATAGGTAAAGATCATTTTGTCTAGCAAGTTTTGTAGTACTCATGTCAGCAGACTGCTGTATTACCAAAATATTATAGTCTAGATTTTTTGTTCATCAGAAGAAACCGTTTTCATATGTACAGATAAAAACTCTTTCCTATAATTTTTGCATCTTTACACTGTCTTACATAGTGCCCAAACATTATGATTTTAGGCCTTTTAGTTCATTAGAAGAAGCATTTTGCGTGTGCTATAAAATCTCTGTGTTTTACAATCATCATTATGATCTCATTGGGAAATACTCTATTTCCTTATGTGATATAGAGTTCAACATGTTTGATGCTTGTTAGTCTGTTGGTTCTGTGTTGTTAATCCTGTTCCTATTTGGAAATATGACACTAGGTACATACTTGCTTTACCAATATTTATATACATAAAATATAACATTGTGATGTTTAGACGGATTGTGACACTAGGTACATACTTGCTTTACCAATATTTATATACATAAAACATAATATTGTGATGTTTAGACGGATTGTGACACTAGGTACATACTTGCTTTACCAATATTTATATACATAAAACATAATATTGTGATGTTTAGACGGATTGTGACACTAGGTACATACTTGCTTTACCAATATTTATATACATAAAACATAATATTGTGATGTTTAGACGGATTGTGACACTAGGTACATACTTGCTTTACCAATATTTATATACATAAAACATAATATTGTGATGTTAAGACGGATTGTGACACTAGGTACATACTTGCTTTACCAATATTTATATACATAAAACATAATATTGTGATGTTAAGACGGATTGTGACACTAGGTACATACTTGCTTTACCAATATTTATATACATAAAACATAATATTGTGATGTTAAGACGGATTGTGACACTAGGTACATACTTGCTTTACCAATATTTATATACATAAAACATAATATTGTGATGTTTAGATGGATTGTGACACTAGGTACATACTTGCTTTACCAATATTTATATACATAAAACATAATATTGTGATGTTAAGATGGATTGTGACACTAGGTACATACTTGCTTTACCAATATTTATATACATAAAACATAATGTTGTGATGTTAAGACGGATTCATTAACATCATATCAAGTGTTATTTTTTCCTTACTGGTGATCACTTTTATAGACATTTAGCTCAACACAAACATGTTAATTATGTCATTTTGTGTTGAAATCAATAAAACTTATAACAAAAAAATTGATTCAAGTATTTTTTCAAAATTTAATGGTTATTCCTGAAACACCCTGGCTAAAATATCATGACGGTACACTCACCAGTTCAAAAGTTGTTTAAAGAAAAGTTAAGGATGACAGATGAACTATAGAGAGATGTGTCACTGCCTTTGCAAATGGTCTTTCCACATCCTTATAAAATCCGTTGCACATTCATCATAAACATTATTAAGGATTTAAACACCTCTATCATATCCCCTCATTGTCTCCGACAGCTGAGTTGATAATTTGAGTCTCTTCAACTGCTCAGGTTATGAGTTCCGAAAACCAGGTATGTGTTTTGAAGCTCTCCTTTGTACTGCTTCAATCATATTGATATGCTTCAGTTTGAAGGGATGTCACACAGTATTAGCATATTCAAGGTGAACTAATGTTTTGTATTGAAGTGAAAAATTATGTTCCCATAGAAAATGAAAAGAGCGTCTTATGACTGCAAACATTGAGTTAGCTTTCTTTACTTGGGTGCTTATGTGATCTTCGAATGTGAGAGATCTGTCGATAATCACGCCTATGTCTTTCTCCTTTTCCACTTCTTGTAAGGGTATATTTTCTATATAATATGTTCTATCATCACAAGGTCGACCTATATGCATGGATTTGTACTTTAATGGGTGAAATTTCAACAACCATTTATCGCTAAATATTGAAATTTGTTCATATCCTCCTGGAAGATATCGACATCCGATAAAAAATTTTGGACTAGACATTTTAATACTGTCTTTCAATGAGAACACAAACAAAGAATTCACTTTTTAATCTTTTAATTGCACATACATAAATCATTCTATTGACCCTATGTTGCCCCGGAGGTTTCTGTTAATTCTGTCAGAAATGTACGGCACTTGCCCATTAACACTCGCACAGCTTCCGTCACTAAGATGTCAGGTGGAAGTACTCCTGTTGATTCCACAGAAACTGTAGGACATAAACACCAAAACATTGTGAGAGAGGGGAGGAAACTGTAGGATATCAACACCAAAACATTGTGAGAGAGGTGAGGAAATTGTAGGACATAAACACCAAAACATTGTGAGAGAGGGGAGGAAACTCTTATAGAGTTTTTCTTGTCTAAGTCAACATCAGTTTTCTCCCTTAACATCATACTGGCTCTAGATAAGTTTTCTACCTTATCTAACATCACATAGACTCTAGATAAGTTTTAGCCCTTAACATCACATAGACTCCAGATATGTTTTCTACCTTATCTAACATCATATAGGCTCTAGATAAGTTGTCTAACTTACCTAACATTACATAGGCTCCAGATAAGTTTTCTACCTTATCTAACATCACATAGACTCTAGATAAGTTTTAGCCCTTAACATCACATAGACTCCAGATATGTTTTCTACCTTATCTAACATCATATAGGCTCTAGATAAGTTGTCTAACTTACCTAACATTACATAGGCTCCAGATAAGTTTTCTAACTTCCCTAACATCACATAGGCACTAGATAAGTTGTCTAATTTACCTAACATTACATAGGCTCCAGATAAGTTTTCTACCTTACCTAACATCACATAGGCTCTAGATAAGTTGTCTAATTTACCTAACATTACATAGGCTCCAGATAAGTTTTCTACCTTACCTAACATCACATAGGCTCTAGATAAGTTGTCTAACTTACCTAACATCACATAGGCTCTAGATAAGTTTTCTACCTTACCTGATATCACATAGGCACTAGATAAGTTTTCTACCTTACCTGATATCACATAGGCACTAGATAAGTTTTCTACCTTACCTGATATCACATAGGCTCTAGATAAGTTTTCTACCTTACCTGATATCACATAGGCACTAGATAAGTTTTCTACCTTACCTGATATCACATAGGCACTAGATAAGTTTTCTACCTTTCCTGATATCACATAGGCTCTAGATAAGTTGTCTAACTTACCTAACATCACATATGCACTAGATAAGTTTTCTACCTTATCTAACATCATATAGGCACTAGATAAGTTTTCTACCTTACCTGATATCACATAGGCTCCAGATAAGTTGTCTACCTTACCTAATATCACATAGGCTCCAGATATGTTGTCTACCTTAGCTAACACCACATAGGCTCCAGATATGTTGTCTACCTTAGCTAACATCACATAGGCTCAAGATAAGATAACTACAGCTGTCTACATCACACTTAGAACTACAACTCTCTATACCAAACCTAGACAGTTGACTATAGCTGTTGATACTAGTCCTGGACAATGAACTACAGCTTAAACACTCTCCTGAAAGTCAGACTGAACTGGTCTAACCAAACATATACAATGGACCACTACTGAAGGAGGGAGATAACACCTAATCAATCTTGTTATACCATTAATAATGAAATGTAATAATGGGGACTTACAGATAAAGTGATCTCTGACTCGTGACAGTCTGACCAGGTCCTTCAAATCCTCATGGCGGAATACTTCCCTGCTGCATGTGTCATGTCGAGCAGACTTTACATATGCTGTGTTGTGACCTATGGATGTACCAGATAGGTATCATTGGTAATTAACTGTTTGCTTATTCTGTTCAATTTCTATTGAGAGTTTACCCAATATTTTTCTTTCTGTCATAAATGTAGATTTATACGGATAAATTTCTCAAACAAATTTCCTGCTGTAAGTCTGTGCGAAAAAATAGGCAATATATATTATCAGCATTTATGAGCCTTTGTGATTGGCAGGAATAATGCTGTTTTGTTAGTAACTTTGTGATGTCACAGAATGTCAGTTGTCAACTGTGATGTCACAGAATGTCAGCTGTTGACTGTGATGTCACAGAATGTCAGTTGTCAACTGTGAAGTCACAGAATGTCAGTTGTCAGCTGTGTTGTCACAGAATGTCAGCTGTTGACTGTGATGTCACAAAATGTCAGCTGTTGACTGTGAAGTCACAGAATGTCAGTTGTCAGCTGTGATGTCACATAATGTCTGTTGTCAACTGTGATGTCACATAATGTCAGTTGTCAACTGTGATGTCACATAATGTCAGTGGTCAACTGTGATGTCACAGAATGCTAGCTGTTGACTATGATGTCACAGAATGTCAGCAGTAAGTTTGACACGAGAAATGGAACTTAATATAAGGAGACGTAAACCTAGATAAAGCAAGACATAGTTTATAGGTGTACCCACCATTCACGTTTCTTATTTCTATCACACCCGGAGAAAAACATTTCTTCAACTTTTCTGCCAAATGATCGACAACAGGTTGTAGTATGGTGATTTCTGGTAAAAGTCTGTAGGAGGCTGTAGCTGTGATGATAAGACAAAATCTAAAAGTTACATAACCATAAATCTTCATAGATTGCCATTCTCTAGAGAAATACTTTTTGGACATAGTTGATGAGAAACATATAATGTAATATGGAATTGACTACTGACCAAAAAATCATGATGTTTCTGATGAGTTCTGGCAGACTAAGTTAGTGGTATGTAACTGGTCCTTACAGAAAGTGTTTTCTTCAAACATACTTACCAACAGGAGAAAATTTGGCGTGGTCCTTTCCAAGTCCTTTTACACACTGTAGTTTTAAATCCAGCTCCTATAAAATTGTAATTAATTCTTAATCTGTATGTTTTCAATGCTCTATGCTTTTATTGATTGTTGTAACTGTGGCCATTCTCCACCATACTCCACTTGTTCTACTAGTAATTAGTCTATTGTATTATATGTTATCCTGGTTATTACCAAACCAACCGGTCTTTGTAATTGACCCTGATTATATCTATAAAAAGTGTCCTAATTTTGACACCTATCTTTCTGGACTAAAGCTTCTTTCAACTCCATTAAAACAGTGCTTGATCTACCTGTCTCACATAGCTTTCCTCTTGCTTCCTTAAATCTAATTCCTGCCCTACAAGGCCATGACGTTTTACAGACCTACCTGACCAGGTCGTAACTTGGCTATCAGGATATCGTCGTTTACCGGACGTATGTCACCCTCTTTGAACTGTAAGTAAAAGTTTAGCATTATGATCATACCTCTGCAGTTTAACTTTCACCTCTTTCATACTTTTACAAATCAGGCAAAAATTACAAGTGTGATAATCTTTAATATCATACAATAAACTCCATATATGGCGAGTTTACTACCAGACATCTGGTGTAATGAGATGAAAATAGATCCCCAGCAAAACCTAGTCTTTATCTTTATATTTTTGTTTCTGAAACAACAAGATTGTTCCTAACAAGATATCGTGAATTACCAGGTATGATTTTCTAGTCCTTGGACATGAAATCCAATCAATTTTACCTGTGATCAACCGAGATCAAAAGTAAGACAATCCAATTGGAAAGGGATTGAGATCAGAATATATCATAGCAACTGAATAGGGATTAACCTCTAGTACTTTAAGTACCATTGTGAAGAAATCAGACATCACAATGGCTGAATACAAAGAGATTTTTAACAGTCAAAAAACTCTGACAAACATTTATTCTCAGAAACTAAAAACACTTATATCGTTTGAATGCAGGCCGACTCTGAAAGTCGAAGTGGAGGAAGTTGCTGAAACATAGATACGTAACTTATTGTTCCTTTGAAGTGAAAGCTTTTACTAACGCAAACAAAAGTGTGACTCAAATATCATTAATCAACGCCAATCTATCATAAACCAAGGCACCACAAATCAGGGTGTCCCATTGCAGCAGGCGATAAATAAATCTAGACAATCATTTCATGTCTACATTTTCAGAGATAACTTTATGAAACAGACTTGATCTGCAAGCATAGCATAAACTCTCTTATTTATACAGTGTACCTATATTAGGAACCAATTCCTGACATCTTATTTCAATCAGTTTTTTTCCCCAGGATATAGGAGACAAGGCAGTATTAACATCGGCTGCTGCAATATCGACCTTTGACCCATGAGCTAGTCAATGAAATGTGACCTAGGGCTTAATATAATGACAATTATGTGAAGTCTAATAAAACTAGCAAGTTTTCCAGATTCTTGAAGACAAGACAGTATTAAACATTTGTATATAGCATTCAATCAACTGCTATAACCTTAACCTTTGACCTTGACACTTTAATAGGACCTTGCACTTGATGACAGGAATAAATCTTTGTTGGAGTTTCATCAAAACAAGTCTGGCAGATTTTCTAGAATGTTATGACACATATGCACATCAACACCTCTACTTAAACATGTCAGGCAGATTTACACACCAACACCCTAACTTAAACAAGTCAGGCAGATTTACACACCAACACCCTTACTTAAACAAGTCAGGTAGATTTACACACCAACACCCTTACTTAAACAAGTCAGACAGATTTACACACCAACACCTTTACTTAAACAAGTCAGACAGATTTACACACCAACACCTTTACTTAAACAAGTCAGGCAGATTTACACACCAACACCTTTACTTAAACAAGTCAGGCAGGTTTACACACCAACACCCTAGCTTAAACAAGTCAGGCAGGTTTACACACCAACACCCTAGCTTAAACAAGTCAGGCAGGTTTACACACCAACACCCTTACTTAAACAAGACAAACGGCAGTGATACTTCTACTTCGAATTAAGGGGACAAATTTTACTATAATTTTGGTTTAGTAATTTGTCAATGAAAAAGGAGCCAGTTCTTCCAGGTATAAAAAGAAAACTTACGATTTCAGCTTGCTTCCCAACCGGAATCCATTTGAAATGTTTTGTTGTGACTAAGAAAAGAAAAGTCAGGAATATTTTCATTGATTGTTTGAAGCTAGAAATTCATGACTGATTTTGCAATTTAAAATCAACAGAAAATTTCACATAATTTTCACAAAACCTGAAGTATTGCTCCCAAAAATCTACCAATGTAAATTAGAGCCCTAAATTCTGTATTCACCTTTCATATGATTTTATTCCACAATACATTTATGCAGATTAAAAAGCATCTTATCTATATATAATCCTTCTTTATGTTTCCCAAGAAACCGATACTAATACAAACTATGTTAAAACAATTGTTAATATAGCACTGAAATAATGATGGTTATACAAGCAAATTCTTTCACTTAAGGCAGGAGACAAAGTAAACAGTAGTCTGTGTGGTGTATCTAACTGTTGTTGGCAGCTAACCGTATCCCACAGCTGACCTTACCTTTGTGGTCTTTGTAGAGTTCATCTGGGTCAGTTGTGTCCTTTGCATGGCTATTTTTAGTACACTTAACCTTTAGTTGGAACTCTATCGTGTCTTCTGCTGTTCCTTCAGAATCACCTGTTAAAAAAAAGGGTAAGCATCTTACACTAACAATGATGTTTAGTACAGGAAAAGAAATCACCTTTATATATGTGTATATGAAGGTTCAAGACATGGTCATGATAAGATCTTCTTGTGATCATTATGGTGGATAAGTGTGATTGGAGAGGTAATAGCTGATCATGCCTAGTCAAGTGTGACTCTGATATCTGCACATTTTTCAGTGTAGTGCACTGTTATAGGCCACTGAAAGTTTGTAGTAGTGAGCTATTATATTCCTGTTGAATATTTTCTTGTGTTTAAACGGACGGGTTAAGATTTCAACATTGATGATCAGCTATTATCACTGGCTGCTGACAACCTATCAATTACTAGCTTTATCCAATTATCTGTTGTCTTTTTTTTAACTTAAGTACCTTACACAGTAGTGACCAATAACATTTCATTAGTTTATAGTTCGTATAGAACACTGCACATTATCATATCTCAAATACAAAGTGTATGATTTAAACTGAGGAGTCCTACTGATACTAAGAGTTGAGGGTACTCATGGTCACCTCTCTAGCCTTGGCTAGTGGGGATTTCTCTTTAATCTATTGGTGGAGTGTCTGGTTAGAGACCAAATGTCACTATAGCCTCACCAGAATCATTAATATTGATCAAGGTAAAAACCATGAAGAAGAATTAAAGCTATAAGCTTAATTCATACCCTAGCAGCTTGGAGCTGTGCTTTTCATTACTCCTTCCAATTGCATCTGTCTATATTAATTCTATCTAAAATCCATGAACATCTAAACATTTTCAATTTAAGTCAAAATATGGACTTAGATATTACAGAAGTCTGTTGTGGCATTGAAAAGGAAACTAAAATTCAAACTTGTGTTTTAGAATTATGTCAGAAATCAGTTACTTTTTCATATATGTATGATCATCTATGTAACACTAGTATCTTCCATAGAGTAATTAAAAAGATTTTAAAATACTTTTAGTTGTGTAATATTACGACCTTATAGCAAACTATGTATCTAATGTATAAGAAACTTCAAAAGTGTGGATAAAGGGAGATAAATTGAACAGTGTAATGACATGAGTATTCTTCCAGAGAAGTGTAGTAATATCTTTTTGTGGTGTATTGATATCCTTTCTGCAAAAGTATATGTGTGTTATTGGGATTTTTGTGATAAAAACTTCTGTCCAGACTAAGTGATCACTATTGATGCCGAGTGTCCTACAGATGCACAGTGTCTAAAAACTGTGTGTAAAAGTATACAATACCCACCATCAGATCTGTACTCAAACAAGCGAGGATCTGCTTTGATAGGAATGAGCCCTAGTCTGTGCGACAGTACTTCATCCTGTATTATTGATGTGTTGTTGTAGATGTATACTTTCTCTATTGCCATGGTTGGCACCTAGGATGAATTAAAAGACATCTAGTTAGTACTAGTAAACAATGTTAACTAATCAAAAGCCATCTACTTAGTTCAGGTCAACATTATTATACAACCAATCAAAAGACACCTAGTCAGTACAGGTTGACATTATTATACAGCCAATCAAAAGTCATCTAGTCCGCACCAGTCAACATTATCATACAACCCATCAAAAGATATCTAGTCAGTATTGGTAAACCTTGTCATACAACCAATCAAAAGACATCTAGTCAATGCTGGTCGACAATGTTGTACAAATATTATAATTTTAATTTCAAATAATGAAATTATAGGAATTCAACCACAATTTGCTAACATATTTATGGCAATGCAGTTTTACATTTGTTTGACGATTAAATTTGGTTTCTTTTATTTTTTTTTTTCTTAATTTCCTGGTATTGTTTTACATATTGAATTTAATCTTAAAGAGGAAATAAGTTGAAAGAAATAGGTAGCATTGAAAATGAAAATGAACATTTGTTACCACAAAAAGTGAACGTTAAGCATGACATTATCCCCATGCCCCGCTGTTTAAAAGAATGACACACAATTATATATATATGTATGTATACATATACATATGTATGTTTATATAACTATAATTAGTATTAACTTCATTCCACCATTGATACTAATATTTTGATGTAGACCATCTTTTACTACTTCCTGAACATAGGTTTGGCATCATTGGCAAATAAAATAACAACATAATCAAGTACCTTTGTTACACAAATTATTGGGGGAAACATATAAATATGAGGGTTTTCTGAGTAATTGTAAAGCTTGACCGATGATTAATGCTGTTTTTTGGTAGACAACAGAAAAAGTAAAATACCCAAAATAAGAACTTTTCCAGTAGCAAAATGCACCAAGAAGGCGCTAGTTTGTACAAAGTTTCAGAAAGTTCTAGAAAAATTATGTTGCCCTCCATGATGATCAGTCAACAAAATTTCAAATACATATCTTGAAGTTTTCAAAATTCTACTCCTGAAACAGCAAAATTTGTAGTTTTGCCAATCTATTTCCATGGTACAAATACAGATTTTGATTTAAATATGGAAACAAGAAATTCAGCATTTTATCTCTTTTGCTTTTAATTACTTTCTAAAACTACCCTGTCAAAATATCCTCCCTTGAAAGCAAATTAACTTGAAAAAATTGGAATGAACCTTCAATCTTTAAAAAGTTTCTAAAAAGCTTAATTTTTTTGTAAGAAACAGCATATCATTATTGTGTACATATGAGGTAATGAGCTTGTTACTAAAAACCCACGTAATGTCCGCATCTGTGTAATGTCCGCACCCCTTTTTTGACACAAAAATCTGGGGGAAAAAACCCACCTTCCATGTAATGCCCGTGGGTAAAAAATGCAAATTGAAGCTGCCGATTTCATTTCACGTAAGCTAATGTCGTAATGGCCAAGAGCATGTCGCATTGTGTATAACGTACAGGTACCATTCAAGAATTCACTTAATTGTTTATAACTGTGGACAGACGGCGCCACTGACCCTACTGACACACCATCAGACGACGAGAACGCCATTCTTGTAATATTCTTGTACATGTTATTTATTGTTATTTTGTAAATAAAATGTAGAATGAAAATGTTGTGTTATTTTGTATATGCTCATGGGTATGCTTTTTCAATGGGGAAAGGGGAATAACTCTAACTTTATTCATGTGACAAAGTCAAACAAAATGGCTTCCTATTACGAAGGAATACACAATACGAACCTGTAACGAGAAAATGGAAGGAATTAACCATGGAAACTATAATAAATAATCATAAATAATCATGTTTGGTTGAGGAAACATAAGAAAAACCATAGAACAATAATATCAGGTATGCTTGGCTTTTAAGAACACAATTCAAGGAGATATATGAATTGTCGGAAGGAAAAAAGTGTCATTTCCTCTATATCTCTGTAATGTCCGCACCCCCTTTTTTGGATTGATTTTCGGTGAAAAAAAGCGCAGACATTACGTGGGTTTTTACGGTACACTGAATATGAAAGGTCTTCTTTGTTGATGACTTATAGAGTAATGTTGAAGATAAACCACTTACATAGCAAGTCTACCAGATAAATCTGGATCTGGTTTTATAAATGAAATACCTCAGCAAGAATTCAATAATTAACAAAAAAAAAAGTTTCAAAGGGAAATGAGGTTTTTATGAGGTTTTTATGTCATTCTTCTGTCACAAAATTAAGTAAAATCAGGTTTCAATACATACAAATTCAATCAACTGTAATATATATTCTTACTTCTGACAAAAGAATTCTGCGGAATGCATTTGCAATAGCAGCGTCAATGCCAACCATGTCAAATTCTAGTTCATCATCTCCCATCTTCACCACATCAACACGAAAATTCTGTTTCAAAATAAAAATGATGAATAGATTATAGTGCTGAATGTTCATTGTATGTTCAGTTCTAAGAAAAAAACACTACTTTATGAGGTCAACAGACAAAATCAAGATAATTTAGCTTTATGTGGAACCGTCTCTTACTTGTGTGTCTGTCTACATTATGTTTAATGCATTTTGACTGTTTGATTGCTCTGAGGTATATATTGATTTTAAACCATTATTTTAAACAGACTTGAACCTTGTAAAACTTCTATTGATTTAATCTTTCGTTAGTGATTAACTGAAAAAAACCTTTTCAAATTTCCTTTGGCTCCAGGCATCATCATATCCCTCGTAAGCTCCAGGGTAATCTGTGCTGTTTACCTAACATGTCAAATATAACATTGTAATTAACACAAATGAAAAAAATAACACACACATCCTCCTCATCACACAAACAAGTGATAGTAATTTGTATGTAATAATTAAGAACTGAAATGCACATTTATAACTTCATGATCTATACCTGGTGCCATGTATTCAAGGAAGTCATTTTCTGTTGAAACACTGTTTTTGCTTTTCATCAGACAGTGTGTGCAGGCTGCCTGTGGTCTACCCAAATGTTTACTTATATACTCTATCTGTATATCAGTCATGCAGACTGCCTGTGGTCTACCCAAATTTTTACCTATATACTCTATCTGTATATCAGTGCATGCAGACATCCTGTGGTCTACCCAAATGTTTACTTCATTTGTTTAACAGTGCATGCAGACTGCCTGTGGTCTACCCAAATTTTTACTTAAAGTAAAACCTGGTGAAAAAATAGAAGACTGGTTTTCTAGATTGCAGTAAAATAGAAAAAAAAACTATATTCAATAATACACACAAGTTTAAAAAAATATTTTCATCATTTGAAAAAAATCTCAAAGCATGAACAGGTTTCGACAACATTTAAGACCAGTCCAATTACCACTGGTATTTTATCACCATTACGTTAAAGCTGGTTTCTTCAACATATGATAGCAAGCTTAGCTTAAGTGGCCCTGCAAATCTTTTAAAGTAAGCCCCCAAAGATCATGCCTGGTCCAAATTTTGAAACAACATTTATGTGTTTCTATTTTAGAATGACCCTGCATTTCAGTTACCAATGTGAGGGGTTGTGCCCAACCTGTATAACGCCAACTAAGATCTTGACAACACAACATATAAACAAGCATCCAAACGTCAAAGTCACAATGATTGCATGACTGATCACTTGCTATAGCGCACCATTTTATCTTCTTTCTTGAAGCACTAGCCATAGCCATTTAACCAACATTTCTGCGCGACAATTTTTGCTTGATGATTTCATCAACATGACGCCCATTTGCATTGAAAGCTTCGTTCTTTCCAGGCACCGACTGACTCATATCAAAGATACATATACAAAATATATTTATGAATTTGTTTAGTTGCAGTTAGTCTTCGTATCAGAGAGCTCTATCGCCATTCGTGATGTGCTTTTTAACCCGAACACCCCACCTAAGTTGCTGGATATTTCTTTTTAGACAAAATGTAAAAGACAACTGCTGCTGACAATTACATTTTCCAATCCGTGCTCTAGGAGTGTCACTCTTGTCCTCGCATCATGTATTCGGTCTTCCATGTTCTCTCTTGACAAACGCACGTTGTTTTGATATTTCCTGGGTCAAATGGATGCTTCGTTGAAGTAAAGTTTATTTACTTATAGTAAAAACATTCTAACCACCGCGATGATTGTCAGATCCGGATATATCGTTTACGCATGTACGAAAAGGGGAGGGTTCAGAGTTCCGGTAATCGACCGAAAGGAAAATGGTAAGAACTTATACTGTTTGCCTGTTTTGCAGTAATTTCATCGGTTTTCTTCGAAAATGGTACAACACAATGTTCAGAGATACATTAAAAATGCAAGCATTAGCACTGCATTTTAAATGATCGCATATTTTCCCGGAACAACCGGCATGCTCACTTGAGTTGCTGTTGATAAGTTATGCTTTGCTATTTCAGTATCATGATATACGGATGTACCATAATTCTAAATTATTTGATATGTTTGTCAGAAAGAAACGTGGCTGGCTCTATACTAGTATCTGATGCCAAACAATACCATTCGATTAATATGGGTATCACATACGTATATTTCGAAACGTAGCAGTTTCTTTCATCTCGGAATAATTATAACTTTACAAGGTTTGACACATTCCCTCATCACGGTGCTGTAATAACCCTGCATTTGAGGGGTAATTACTGCAGTGCTTTGACTAATCAGTTAGTTACTCAAATGGAGTTTCATTCTTAAATAGAAAAACAAAATTCTTTTAAAAGTTTGCAACAAAATAAGGTGTCATGTTAAAAAGATGACATGATAGCCAATGTGACAATGTATAAATGCGTAGGAAATGTTATTTTGCGTTAACATAAAAATTTATAACACTCACTTTGTTCTCCATTGACTTCAGTATATAGTGTTGCATTGATTATTGGGCAAAATAAAAAATATGACACCCTTTTCAGTTGCAAATTTTAAAAAGAACTTTTAAGCGTTTCTGTGTGAGTAACTAATTGATCATTCAATGTGGTAACCATCCCTCAAATGCAGTAGTATTATCCATATGACGAGCTGTGCCCAACCTGTTCATGTTTGTCTTTTGGAGAACAAATTAATACATCAGATTCAGGAAATTTACATCTTCCCCAATCGGTAAAATGTACAGATATTACATGAGTCAGGTAGTGCCTGGAAAACCTAAGTTTACATGAAATTCTTGGTTGACAGTATCCAGAAAATAAAACACCAATAAATTTGATAGACTGGTTAGTACTTCAAGAAAGGAGGAAAATATATGCACTGCAGCAAGTGATTGATTGCGCAGTTATTGTGACATTTACATTTTAGGTGCTTGTGCATATGTTGTGATGTTATGGTATGGTTAGTCTTGTGCACCAAATCTTTCAGAGTGCATTTTGGTACCACAATATTGTGACTGTTATGGAACTCGGGTAGAGATTCGTTATGCACTGTATACATGGAGGAATAAAGAAATTTGAATTATGCCAATTTCATTCATCTTTATGTCAAGTAAAAACAAAAGAAGTCCAACAAATTCAGGAAAGTGAAAATAGTATTTTTCATCAACATTAGCTACAGGTTAAGTTCAGAACATCAGTATTTCATGTATTTCACATCTGGAAGAATTTTTCTTAGGTGGATCAAGTCCTCGAATCTCATCCTGGTAATCATATTAAACCAGGTAATACATGCAGAGTGACTTGCGTTTTTGGTGGATGGAAGTTATTTGTTATATGTTTTACTTGCAGATAAAGTTTATACTGATACAGAACAGGGCAGGCAAGACTCGCCTCGCCAAGTGGTATATGCACTTTGATGATGATGAGAAGCAGAAACTCATAGAGGAAGTACACGCTGTGGTCACTGTGAGAGATGCAAAACATACCAACTTTGTTGAGGTATAAATTCATCACAAAAACTCCAGTTTTACTGGGGCATTGATAATCAATCTCCATGACATTTTTAAGGATTTTGGTCATGCTGTGCTTCACACTCATTGTATATCTCTTCACAGTTTGGTATCTCTGAAAATTGTTTTGTAACAATAATCACATTCAATACTATACTGTAAGGAGTTACTTTTGTGCCCAAATTGGCTGCTTCAACTTAGACATACACTATATGACTTTTGTTGTAGCATTAGTGAACATTGTCACTATGCTGACTATGATCATGGATAGAAACATTGATTTAATAACAAGTTAACAAGAATTACTGCGATGATATCTGTTTCATACAATTTGCACAAAAGTGATTTTCTAACTAGGAGGTATGAATGACAAAATCAAAGTTTGATATACTTTCAGATCTCAATATTGATGTTATGCTTACAGACTTAACTTGTTTGTTTTTCAGTTCCGAAATTTCAAGATAGTGTACAGAAGATATGCTGGTCTATACTTCTGCATATGTGTGGATGTCAGTGACAACAACTTAATGTATCTAGAAGCTATTCACAATTTTGTGGAAGTTTTAAATGAATACTTCCACAATGTCTGTGAATTAGATCTAGTGTTTAATTTCTATAAGGTAGGTAAAAAGCCTGGGAGCTTGGTTTTTGTAAAACATAAATTAAAATTCTCATGGTGACCTATTCAAATACCCTTCATCAGGCATCGCGCATCTGTAAACAATTTAACACTGTCAACTTCTTCTCTAAAACCCCTGATCCAATTTCAATGAAATTTTGCAGAAATCTTCCTTTGCCTAAGATGAACCAAAATTGTGAATTATACAGTCCCCACCCCCAGGGGCCTGAGGGGCAGATCCAAAAGGGGCCAAATTGACACAGCTTTCAAAAAATCTTCTTCTCAAGACCCAGATATGGTAGAATCAAATACTCTTCATGAATGGAAGCATCTTAGGTGCTTTACCAAGAAACACCAGGGTCTCGCATATCCCCGTGGGGAGGGGGTAAAGTTTACTATAGTTTATATAGGAAAACTAGATTTTTGAGCACAATTTGTTAAATTTCTATTGGAAATATTTCAGACTTAGTTAGAATTATGAGTGAAGGATGAAGGCTTGATGGTATGCCAATTTTGATCCTGATTGACCCACAGGGGCTGATGGATGGGGTCAAAAGGGGTCAAATTGACTCAGATTTCAAAAATCTTCTCAGGACCAAGATATGGTAGAATCAAATACTCTTCATGAATTGAAGCATCTTAAAGTGCTTTAATTACCAAAATGAGCCTTAAATTTCTTCCTGGGGAGGGATTTTTTTTTGTGGATTTTACTGTAATTTTCATAGAAAAATGGTATTTTTGAGCATAACGTTATTTCCCACTGGAGTATTTCTATTTATTTATATTCACAGGTCTACAGTGTTGTGGATGAAATGTTCCTTGCAGGAGAAATTCGAGAAACAAGTCAGACGAAAGTGTTAAAACAGCTTCTGATGTTGTCTTCATTGGAATGATAAAACTATAATGACTTAGTATTATCAGGTATCATTGTCATCTTGCATTAGTGACCTTCACAATTCTTGATGGGAAGAATTTTGGTTTGTATATAAAAAAAGTGCTCACCTTTTTTTATCAGAAGTAATTAGTATTCTATTGATGGATCCAGGTTTTTTACCCAACTGTTAAACTGAAGGCAGATTTACTACCATTTGGTCCACGGATGAGTAACAGACAGCTGTGTACACAGGATTCCCTATCAGGACATTTGTATCATATGAAACTGTTCAACTTTTACTATCGAAACATAGAGTTATTGTTATTATGATGTAAAATTTCAGCCAACTCTATATGTCCTTGTAGTTTACAGCCCAAAAAGTAAGTACATTATATATGTACACTGTATATAGTTTTTGAAAAATTACACTCATGGAGGAGCCCTTAACAAATCAACAAATACTAGTATATTAAACAGTGTTAGTGTGTACGTATGGCATTAGTGTAAACTTCGGCCTGATGGTGTTTCTGTTTAAGTGCTTCATGTGTTGATGTATTTTTGTTAGTGACTGAATTTCCTCATTTGTATGTAAATGTCAATTGTATTAAAGCATTCCAGTAGCATGTCATGGAACGTAAGGTTGTTTTGTCTGGAATCAACAGTACTGTCAAGTCATTTGTGATTGTAGAAAGTGACAGTGTTTGTATCATACCATTACTCATTACATTAACAAGGTGAAGGTCAGGTCCATTTTAAAGGCTGTTTTCAAATGCTAAGGAAGTGATATTGCTATTTTGAGCATACATTAGCAAAATTATACAAATATGTGTAATGATGTTTGCTTTCTTTGGTACCACCAAAAACATACTCTTATTCTTGTTTCCAATTCTTGCAAAAGAATTTGGAAGCATTTTGCTACTCAGTAATGAATTTAACAGCGTAGTTAACAATTCTTCAACACTAAGCTTCTTATCTTTGTTATCAATTGAATTTTTTCCGAATTTCATTTTAATTTTCTTGAAGAGAAAATCATTTCATGAAAGAAATTACATATATTTTATATGTTGCTAAATTATCATTATTTTAAAAGACTTGTGACACTGAGTGTTGATGGAAAAAGAAATTAATAAGTAGACTTTTAATATGAAAAGAATTTCTTTTAAAAAGGAAACATCTGTCACATTTATTTTGCTTGCACATTTAAATTGGTAAATTAGAATTATTAAGAAAAATGGACAAATTTTACTGTTATGTGGATTAAAATGGAAAGGAACCTAGAACTTGGTTTTTACGGCTACTGAGCTCCGTAAGTAATTGTTTTTAATGACAATGCTGATAAGCATTATCTTGTAGGGTATTTTTCTTTCCTGTTTTTGTAGAATCTCTGCTCTTTGTACATCTCACATAGATAACATTTCCTGACTTGAGAGGTAGAAGTCACCATGATGAGGCATTGTTACTATGTACTCCATAGAGATACAACCAGATATTTGTAAAATTGGTCAGTACATCCTTTTCTTTTGCTGTGTCAAAATGACAATTCACTTGTAGATGGTAATATATATAGCTTAGCAATTTAGGCTATATCCCATTTTTACTGTCTAGACTCAAAACACCACACTTATTTCCAACCAAAACACACATTTTGTAGCTATCGTCATTTACAAGTAATGGATGGAAAGACACAGGCATTTTTATTGGTGTAATGGTCAGAGGAAATACATTAGTTTGATAAGCTTATAGTTTGCTAGAAAGAAATTAGTTCTGGTAACTTGTATATGAAAAATTGGCAATTTGCACATGAAAAAATGCCATGGATAATGCAGTTTTGAAATCAGTGGTAACAGCCGGTAGTATTACAGGTAATAAAGAGATTCTACTTTAGGTTCAACCATTTACATATATCTGTTAAAACCTGTGTAAAAAGTCACCAGAAACTTAATATTCTTGGGTGATATAACAATAAGATTCATTTATGTGGGGAGTCATTTTCTTGTGTTCTGTATTTGTCGATAAACTGTTATCATGACTTTTCTTAACTTTTCGAATGTTCAGAAAGCTGGTAACTGTACCTGGCTTTCATTAGTAATTCAATCGAGTAAAGCCAGTTTGTGTCAGAAAACCACAGTGAATTCTGAGGAAAGTGTTTATATAGCTGTATGTATTTATATAGATATGTAGAATCTATTGTTACTACCAAGTACCAACACAATGTGCAATTATTTAAGAACAATAAAATATGTACAAACATGAAGTGTTAGCTGTTGTGGTATGATAGAGGTTCTCCTGCTAAGCCAATAGAAAATTAACGTATTTGTGTATGTAAACTTCATTCTCATTTCCCAGTTTTTTGCTCCGAAATCTCACACATTTTGATTCTGCTTCTTTTTTTAGGTCACCTGAGACATGGTGACCTATTCCGATACCCTTCATCGTGCATCTGTAAACAATCGAACACTTTCGACTTCTTCTCCAAAACCCCTGATCCAATTTTAATGAAATTATGCAGAAACCTTCCCTGTCCCAAGATTAACCAAAATTGAGAATTATACAGTCCACACCCCCAGAAGTCAAAAGGGGTAAAATTGACTCGGATTTCAAAACTGAATGGAAGCATCTTAAGGTGCTTTAATTACCAAAATGAGTCTCACATTTCTTCCTGGGGAGAAATATTTTCTCTAGACTTTACCGTAATTGTCATAGAAAGTCTTTATTTTTTAGCATACTTTTGGTTATTTCCCACTGGTAATAATGTTATAAGAATTATCAGCATAGGATGACAGTTTTGATAGAATGAATGTATTGACACTGTCTTTATTCAGTGTCACAATTTCTGTTTCATGACACTTGTTAACTACCCTTCAACATTTATATTCAATATTGCTTATCTCAGGTGACCGTCAAGGCCGCAAGGCCTCTTACATACATTGTCAATATTTTGGCACCATGTACAGAAGTGTTTATGGTAATACTTTAGTTTTGAAGCAGAGCTAACACATTAATTTGATTACAAATTTGACTACAACTCATTTAGTCTTGTTTTCCATTATTCCTTTAGTTTATCACAGTACGTACCAGATAATGATTATACTAGAGTTTAGACAATGACCGCCTCATATAGACAAAAAGGTTCCAATACCAAAGAATCTGTAAGAACACATATGTATCCATAGCATAATTATTGGCACCATCTAAGACAAAATATAAGCAAATACACTTAAAGTTGGATGAATACAAATGAACAAGACCATGCTGCAAAATAAGTGTAAGCTTCCAACACTGCTTCACTGTGGTGAATCCATGCACCAGGTGTGCAGTTCAGCTGTTTAGTGGAGACGAAAGGAACTGATGGACACCATGCAAAATCATAGTCCCAAATGATTCCCTTTGAGGGACTAATTACCTTGACTTGCTTTCAAGTCAAGTTCTGTCAAAAGTCCTATTAAAGTAGCAAGATGAATTGCTATCAAGGTTGTAGGAATACCAGTGAATGATTTCCACTTCAAAGGACACAAGGCTTGAATTCTTGTCTCCATCCTGCATTCTGTTTGTAAGGAGCTACATGGCACATCCCTGCTGAGAAACCTATCAGATTTAATCTCGACCAACTCTTTGAAAACACCATGTTCTAATGATGCAAATCACCAGTGTTACTTCTGTATCAATGGTTTCATTTCTTTACAAACAAAAACTGACAAACTTTGATCTTTTTGTATATATTTTAATACATTATTATATGGCAGCTAAAGCAATGTGTTATTCTTGATTAAAAGGATTATTAATGAAATAATTGTGACTGTATGAAACAGAATTCACAGCCCAGCTGGAATGCAAGGTAAATATACTGATAACTTAGATATTTCTATTGAATCATTTTTGTAATTTGAAAACTTCTCCAAAATAAATAAATTGAAGAGAAAGAGAGAAGAAAAAAGCATGATGCAGGTATGAAAAGAGATACTTTGAAAATTTGATTGTCAATGTTTTAATGTCAGAATTATAGTAATGAGAGTTTCCCTCCAATATATATCCCACACCCCTTTCTGGCTTATTCAGCATAGTTTATTCTATTAATTTTTTCACAGAAAAAATCTTTAAGCATTATACATACAGGAACAGTCCTGTAAACACAAATGTATTTAAGATGACTAAAGTTAGAAGGTGTAAATCATTTGTCAGTATAAACATTTGACAACCAATAATAAAAATGAGATTTTTCAAGTTTCAATGGTAGAAATCAACTTTTAAAATCATGCTTTATACATAACTTAGTCATAACAGAAGTCATTGGTAGTACACATCTGATTTCTGCTGTGATTATCAATACACAGGAGGGAAACGTGACAATACACAGGAGGGAAACATGACAATACACAGGAGGGAAACATGACAATGCACAGGAGGGAAACATGACAATGCACAGGAGGGAAACATGACAATACAGAGGAGGGAAACATGACAATACACAGGAGGGGAAAATGACAATACACAGGAGGGAAACGTGACAATACACAGGAGGAAAATGTGACAATACACAGGAGGAAAACATGACAATACACAGGAGGGAAACATGACAATACACAGGAGGGAAACATGACAATGCACAGGAGGGGAACATGACAATGCACAGGAGGGAAACATGACAATGCACAGGGGGGAAACATGACAATGCACAGGAGGGAAACATGACAATGCAAAGGAGGGAAACATGATAATGCACAGGAGAGGAAAATGACAATACACAGGAGGGAAACATGACAATACACAGGAGGGGAAAATGACAATACACAGGAGGGAAACATGACAATACACAGGAGGGAAACATGACAATACACAGGAGGGAAACATGACAATACACAGGAGGGAAACATGACAATACACAGGAGGGAAACATGACAATACACAGGAGGGAAACATGACAATACACAGGAGGGGAAAATGACAATACACAGGAGGGAAACATGAGACAGTATCAATATAGGAGATCCTGGTCCAAACCTAATACTCTTGATAGTTTGATTTGTTAAAGAAAACATTGCAAGATAATCTTATGGCGTTTTAAGACTAGATCACTTGACATTTTTTCCAAATTGCTGCACAACATTTGATTTCAGACATGTTAATTAGTTTTGTTACTGTAGGTAATGTCTGTCGTAACACTAACAGAAAAATTATTGTTAGTTTGTCAAAGAAATATAAAAAAGGATCTAACCACAAATAATAATGGAAATACACAGTTGATGGCATTAATCACAGTTCATTTCAAACACATTCTGAAAGAAAATGTAGACAACTTAAAACATAACAGAAGCACCTTGAACTTATAAATCAGTGTTTTTAAAAAAATATCTCCAAACATTCCAGATATAACCCTAGGTCAGTGAAGAGTCACAGAAACCACACTTCACAACAAAAATCTGAAATTATCAATATTCGTAAATCTTAACTTAGAGGGCAGCAAACAATTTTTTATAGACAAGCTGAAGCTGAAAACTTAACAGGAATGGCAAGGTGACTAGAAAATGTATATCATTTTCACCAATTTGAAAGTTATCCATTTTTTAGCATCAAAATCCTTCCTAGAAGGAAAGTAAGACTGTGTCATTATTTACTGACACACAAACTAATGTAATACTCACACAACCAAACTATGGAGAAAAACTGATAATTCTATTTCAGCATAGAATATGTACAAGGCATCGGATAAAGTATCACAAATGTTAATAACATTTCAATATTCACAGAATCTCTAAGCTGCTAAACATGAAAAACTAAAGCTAAATCTGTTCTACTGGATGGGCACTTTTTGTGTAATAGTTCAAACATCAAGACTACTACATATAGTTTAACATCAATTTATACATTTCTCAGGAATTGAAATTTACAATACAGATTTTGATATTATGCTTTAATTTATGGCCATTTTACTACATTTCTAAAGCTATAGAGGTACTACAGTATATAAAAAAAAATTTTTAATTGGACCAAATGGGTTATTATATATTGTTTCCAGACGTTATACATTATCAACAGAAACATAATTCACATTTTCTCTATTGACTTAGTAATTCAACTAAGAATCTTTGAGTAAGATAGAAAACATATGCAAGATTATAGCCAATAAATATGACAAATATGTTAAAAAAAAGTATGATTTCCAGGAGTGACAATACAGACTTACTGCTGAATATCTGTCCTCCCATGGGGACAACAGATTGTATAGATCAAATACATTTAAGTATAATGTGAAATACTGTGAAAGTATGACCTCATATCTCTGCCAAGCCCCCAAAGACAATATGAAATTGAAATAATAAAAATTTGTTATACATTCATATATTATGAACTGAACATAAAATAATTGGGTCAGATTTAAATAAAACATGAGTAGCTATAATTTTAAGGAATACAAATGACACAGATATTTACAATTTCTACAGTCCACTAGAATGATTTTAAGATGAGAAAGAGTTAAGATTTAAAATAGTTCACACACTCCTTGTTTCAAATATGCATTTTATCTACATTTACAATGCATGCAAATATGAAAGGTCCTATATTGTAAGCATTGGTGCAATCATGTTCATTGAAAAAATTATTGATGTATTTGAGCAAATCACTGAGAAAGTCAATCCTTCACCGCACTATCTGATAATGATATAAAGCAAGAGTATCTAGCCTCAAGGCAGATTTCAACAATTCTTCAAAGCTAATGTAGAAATATTCACGAGCCCCAGCATCACTGAGAGTCCTGCATTCATGAGCTGTGACATTTCTAAAATCTGAAAGTCCTTGGCATGTGAAAAGAACGCTAATGTAGTTAAATCAACATATATTGAAATAGTCACCAAACAATCCACATTACAACTTATCCAACATGGAAATAGATGGTATAGGAGAGGCACACAAACACAATGCAGCATTTAAGACTGTCTGTTTTTAAGCAATAATATAATAATGGAAGGCAAAAGATTACCTTAGCTTCATCAGACAAAAAAGAAAAAAGACACAACACACACATAACACACTCACTTTGAAACATTAATATGTTTATTCCAGTAACTTATTCCTAGCACATGTTTTTATCATGATTTTTGTATCATTATAAGAATTCTATAGCTTTTTCATAAACATTCCAATAAAATAATAATATATAGAATCCAACAAATAAAATCCAATGTGAGATAAGACAGCACCAAACCAATGAAAAACTAGGTACAAGGGAAATAACTCCAGCCAGAAAGCAGAATTGGTATACTCAATAGACCAATAGGTTTTTAGGCATTGTCCATTTCTAACATAATCCTGTTGATCTGAGGTCTGTATCTACTTCATGATCTTAACAATAAATTACCCAGAAAGCATTATAATGAAACCAATAAAATGAATTGTCAAGTAAAAAACTCCAACAATCCTAAAGCAAGGATGACTATATACATTATCACAAAGTTCACATACAAAATATTAAAAACACCCACTTACATAAGGCTTCTCTTACAAATAGTTGTGGGTGGAGCTAAGTTGAACCCTGCTTTGTTGCCCAGGAGATGGGTGTCTGTGTGGTGTATTTTAATGGACAGACCAACTCACACACTGCTGATATCTCCCTGTAGATGATGGGAAATGGAGCTAAGACGAATCATTTCGTTTACAGATATATGTCAACAGTGTAGTTAATGGAGAGACCCACTCACACACTGCTAACATCCCCCATGGTGCTGGAGCAAAACTGAATTCTGTTTTCTTGTCTGTGTGGTGAATATTACTGGAGAGACCCACTAACACACTGCTAATAATACCCCCTATAGATGGTGGGGAATGGAACCAAGACAAAACCTTTTTTGTTTCCCTGATATGTTTGTGTGTGGTATAGTTAATGAAGAGAACCAATCACACACTGCTAATATGCCCCTGTAGATGATGAGGAATAGAACTGAAATGAAACCTGTTTTGTTTTCCAGATATGTGTATGGTATATTTTACTGGAGAGACCCATTCACACACTGCTAATATTCCCTTGGGATCGTGGTAGGTTGACAAATGTTGCACCTTATTTTGTTGCCCAGGAGACGGGATTCTTAGAAGTGAATTTTACTGGAGACCCAAAAACACACTGCTAAAATCCCTCTGTAGTTGGAACTAAAACAAACCCTGTTTTGTTTTCCTGATATGTTTGTGTGTGATATAGTTAATGAACAAAACCAATCACACACTGCTAATATCATCCTGTAGATGATGGGGAATGGAGCTTAGTCGTATCTTGTTTTGTCGCCCTGGAGATGTGTGTCTTCGAGGTGTGTTACGACAAGGAGATCCTGGGGATCCAAGACGTTTCACTGGTTTTACTGGGGAACATGGTGACTTTGATATGCTCCTGTTGATGTGTCGTGGTGTATGTCCTCCAGATGTCCTCAAAAGCACACGCTGACCAAGGTTTCCTGGTAGGATGGGCAATTTGATGCTGGGTACCTTTGATGACCTGGCATTTGTTGGTGTAGCATCTAAATCTAATGAATTAGATGGTTCTGTTTTTTCACCAAGAGGTGTACAAGAATCCTCTTTTGGATCCCTTAAATCACCCTGGTGTTTTGGTGTGTGGTCACCTTCATTGTCAGAGCTGGAGTTTTCCTTGTTTTTCACAGCTGTGTCGTCTGATATATCCATGTCTTCAGTAATGCCAGGAGTTGGGACTGAACTACTGACAATGGACCTATCCTTTGCATAGTAGATACTGGGCTTTCGTGACAGACAATTTGAAGCACCAGAGGATGATGGCCTTTGTTGCTGTTTTGATGCCGCTGACTCAGAGGGTTTCAAAAGATGTGTAGAAATTGGCAGTCTAGCTTGACCTTTCCCTAACTTTGGGTTGACTTGCACAATGTCTTTCATACAAGCAGCTTCTTTCTCACTTTTGGCAAAAATTGTTGGTATCCTAACAGGAGAGCAGCCCCTTTTGCGTGTCACAGAATTGGCAAATCTGTATGGTGATGCATGACGATCTACAACATCTGTCTCCAGACTTTTCACACAGTGTTTAACTTTGCCAGACAAGTTTGTTTGCAGCTCCATGATGCTTTCGTGTTTCGGGATGGCCGTCTCTGCATGTTTGAGAATATTTTGGGGCGGACCCATCACCTGAATGTCCTCTCTTGATGCGTCTTTTTGTTTATTTCCCAAGTACCCTGCCCTTATTAATAGGTTATGTGTCTCAGACGAAATCTGAAGGTTTGGGGTGTGGTTTTGAGTTTTCTTAGACACAGAATTTACATGAAGGCTATGAGATCTGCTAACACTAGCTGTCATTGTTTTCATATCTAAAGATGAGACAAATCGTCTCAACTTTTGATCAGTATTCTTGACCTCAGGTTTGGTTGCACAAGTTGGATTTATTGTTGTTTCTGAAGCAAGCTCATTATTGTTCAATTTACTCTCACTTTCTACTACATTACTGGTCCTAGCTTTAGAATTGTCCGTGTTTTCTAAAACACCTATTTCTTCCAACAGGGATCCTTTCCCACTGTCTGTGGATATAGATCTTGGAAAATTTTTCTTCTCATTTTTCGGTGATGAAGGCGAAGAATCTGTTTGACCACTAAGTAAGCTATCCATACTCTCACGGGAAATAAATTTTGTGCCTTTCACTTGGCTGTCCTCTAAAGATAAATTGTCACTTGCTGGAGATTTTGAATCTGTCGTTTCCATGTATGAAGCAGTGGCTTCTGTATCACTACTACTACTCACTGGATTTTCATCAGTAATTGAATTACTTGTTTTTTGGTCCGACATCACTTCTAAAATGTCCATTGAGTTATCTTGCTTGTCTGGTTGCGACTGACTTCCTTCTGAGCTGTCTCCAAGCTCAATCATGTTCACATAAGCTGATGTATCAGGTATGTATAGTGGAACTGGCTCACCGATCTCGGATTTATCCAGACCAAAACTACGCCTCAATTTCATCACATTGTCTTTTTCACCTTGAAGTAAACCAGCCTTAAGAGAATTCGGCCGCCCACGCCTCAGCGTTCCACGTCGCTGAAGCTGGTGATCAGGATTAGAGGAAAGGGAACGCTGGTGATGTTCGTTTATGGACTCATGTCTGGACATATCATTGACAGCAGAGTCAGATAGGCAAGAACGCGGCAATAGGTCAGAATTTTCTACACAAGAAACATTAGCACTCATAGTTGACATATCTCCATCTTCATCAATAAAGCCCTCATTTAAGGAGTTAGTGTCTTCCTCTGTTACTGAAAGTACAGATTGCTCTGGTAAAGTTGGGGAGAGGACTGACTGATTCACTATGGCTCTAATAGGTGACTGGCCATTAGTAGTGTCAGAAGGCTGGCTGATGTCTGTTTGGTTTGAATGGTCTGTACAATCCTGTTTGTTTACCTCTCGAGCAATGGCTAATCTCTCACCAACCTGCCTGGCCTGTGTAGATCTGGGACACTTAGGAAGCTGCTGAAACACACAAACGAATTAAATACACATGTTTTACCACCTTGCATCATGATATCAATTGTTTGTAACTTTTTCACTTCAGATCAACTATAAAATGTTTGAATGAAATCAATTAGATGGGTGATTGGTATTAAAATGAATGATCATCAAGTGCTCTGTATGAAGCAGTGGCTTTTTAGTTTAATATGAAATCTATATCCAATTTTACACATATAGCAGAAGCAGTGCTTGTGACAGAATATAAATATGTACTTGTAAAGATAAGTGTATACACTTAAGTTAAACAAATCTGTTGTTGAAGCTCTAATAAGAATTTCATTTATATTTCCAACAGTTTTGATTCCAATGTCCTTCCTAAGATCTGGAGACTATTTTTTTTTAACAATAACGAACATCAAGCTATAAGAGATTCAGTCGTGGAAAAGGATATTATCTAGGCAAATACTTTGTATGTGAATTTCTAGTTGTTGAGAAATGAATTGAACAATTAATATTCTTAACAATAAAAATAAAGATGGATAATAATACTAAGCCTCTTAGAATTTTAATAATAATGTTAGGAGTTCCTTGTGAGGAGTTCCTTAAGGTGTAACACCTAGAGTTAACACTGTAGAAGTCTTTATTATACAGGTATATACAGCAATTATGGCAGTATTAATCAGCAATATTCTTTAAGATATACTCATCAAATCAGGAAAACACAGACAAATATAACATCCAAGGCAATGGCCATTCCTTTCTTGCTTGATTAACTGAGCATTCAGCACTACAGGCTTTGTACATTAACAATTTTACACATATCATTTTACATAAAGTAGCACAAATACATGCTGTACTGGCATTCATTATTTATGAGAAACATGCATTAAATGTATGGAATTATATGTTTAGATACAAGCTATGTAGATTAATGTGTATATTTCTGTTTAAGCAAGGTGTACAATATATATGAATATTTGAGTGTATTTATGTAAAAGCAAGGTGTACAATATATATGAATATTTATGAGTATATTTATGTAAAAGCAAGGTGTACAATGTATATGAATATTAATGAGTACCGGTATATTTCTGAAAAAAAAAGGTGTACAGAGTGTAAATAAGTACCTTGTCCCCTTTTCCTCCAGAAAGTCTGCGGAACAGACCTTTACACTTGCCCTTTTTGTTGGCAGCAGACAAGGATATATTGGAACCTGAGGGGAGCCTGTAAAGGGAGCGACAAAAAATAATGGTCACCATGTCTAATTAAACAGGATAATCCAGATGTTTAAAGCCTTGTCACTGATTACTGTACATCACTTTTAATGAATATTTTATTATGCGAACTCAATTCTGCAGACATGTTCTTACTAATACATGATTTCGTGAACACTGATCTAGAAATTCATGCATAATATGCTATTAGATGTACTTTGGAAAACCCCTTTCAGCAATCAATAGCTTCATCTTTGCCGCCATTTTGTTTATGAGTCATGTGACTACACCTGAAAAGTGATTCAGTCTTGTGATACATGTTGTGTCCATACTTAATTGTATTAACCAGAGAAGAGCTGGTATGCAGACAAAAGAAATAAGCATGAACACCACATACGCTTTGATGTTTGAAGAGTGAAGCGAGTTGATTTTAAGGTAAGATTAGAGGACTTTAATAGGCCAGATGTACTGTGCAGTTTTTCAGTAACGCTTCATAACATGTTTACACTAATCATACAGTAAAGTTGGTTGTTTATCATACTTTGATAGTTTAAACCAACAACAGACCTGTGCAAATTTTACTATTTTGATAAAGTCACTAAATTCTTGAAGATTAAGTTCATACAAAAACTTCCTCACACAATTGTATTGGTATACAATGTGACCTGACTGAAGGTTAAAGATATAAGACAAATGTTCTGCTTAATATCTGATCAGCCATAATAACAGGCATCATATCATTAAGGTTAATTTTTTGATAGACGAAATATGAAAGTATCAGTAAAACTGATGAATGCTTCCGGAAAATAAATTAATCACACAAAAAAGATAACAAAGGGTAATAACTCTGCAATTAAGGGGTTTTAAAATTCATTCTCTTAGTAAGAGCAATGTACACATCAATTCTCTATCCTAGTTCTAAACAATAACAAATGGCAATAACTAAGGTGTTGTGTGAAATTTGTTAGATTGCACATCGTCTAATTAAGTTTTATGTATATATCAAGTTTCATTATCCTAATTTAATTAGTTCAGGCCACAAAATTTTAACAATAACAAATGGCACATGCAACTTAGTATAAGGTGTTGTGTGAAATTTGTTAGATGCAGTGACTATTTGCTCCTATTTTCAAGGAGCATAGAAATGACTGAACAAATCATGAAATCGCAAATAGGTTTCTTCATGAACTGTAATTCAAAGTGGTCAGGCTGACTTATGAAAACTCGTGATACACTGATGGTCCACTTAAAGTTTGATGAGTCAATTTGGATATTTCGATTCACACTCATCACAGATTTGTAATATCAGAACAGTAACTATTGTAGAATTCCTGGAATAAATTGATTTCCTATCCTTCATTTCATTTCATGTATTCTGGTCAAGACTAGTATCTGTGATCAAAAGGGTGTTGTGACTGAAACCAATATTTTCATTGATCGAAATAAAAATAAAATCAGAAATTAAATTGTGAATAACGTGCTTTTTCATAAAGAACTCAGGAAACAGTATTTGATATATATTTACAGTTATATTGCAGAGCAAGACTACCTCATGCAATACATTCCAGGACTGACTTTCTCCATGAAAAAAGACTTTTGATCATGCTGTGACTACCAATCATGGTGGTTTATTTCAGCATCTTTATAAATCTTGCCAGGCACCTTCTATAAATAGCATTAACATTGATTAAGATTATATTTAAAGTGTCATGAACAAGATGATTTCTCCAACCCGTATGTCCTACACCACATGTTAAATGTTTCCAGAGTAAGGCACATACCTTCACCGATTATAAGCCATTCCCAGATATATATTTGTGTTAAAGATGTTGCACTTACTTTTTACCCTTTCGATTATTGCCAGGACTGAACAGGTTAAGGCGTTTCCTTGTGTTTTTGCCTGCCTGGCAGGGTGTAGCACTGAAAGCCAGCTGCTCCTTGCTGCTGAATGCTATGTTGGGAGTGTTGAGGGTTCCTCTTCTCTTCATCTCTACAATAGCATCTGTAGTATTAGCAATATCATCACTCCCCATCATTTACACCATTTTCTGCTAATCTTAACATTTAATAAAAATTGTTGAGACTGAAGGTTAATAATTATTTTCTTTTATAACAAGAGGCCTAGTGACCTTGACAGTCACCTGAGATAAGCAATAATGAATATAAAGTTTAAAGGATAGTTATCTAGAGTCATGAAACAGAAACTGTGACAATGAATTTAGTAAGCCAGTGTCAATACATGCATACCATCAAAACTGTAATCCTATACCGATAATTCTTATAAAGTTATTTCAATTGGGAAATAACCAACGTTATGCTACAAAATGCAATTTTTCTATGAAAAATTACAGGAAAGTCTAAAGGATGCACAATGGATGCTGCTGAATGAAGGGTATCAGAATAGGTCACCATTAAACTTTGTCTCAGGTGACCTCTACAGACACACCACCTTGGTATACCACTACAGACACACCAACTTGGTGTAACACTACGCCAACTTGGTGTAACACTCACACTACCACTACAGACACACCAACTTGGTGTAACACTACAGACACACCACCTTGGTATAACACTACAGACACACCACCTTGGTATAACACTACAGACACGCCACCTTGGTATAACACTACAGACACGCCAACTTGGTGTAACACTACAGACACGCCAACTTGGTTACACACTACAGACACGCCACCTTGGTGTAACACTACAGACACGCCACCTTGGTATAACACTACAGACACGCCAACTTGGTTACACACTACAGACACGCCAACTTGGTTACACACTACATACACGCCACCTTGGTGTAACACTACAGACACACCACTTTGGTGTAACACTACAGACACGCCAACTTGGTTACACACTACAGACACGCCAACTTGGTTACACACTACAGACACGCCACCTTGGTGTAACACTACAGACACGCCACCTTGGTGTAACACTACAGACACGCCACCTTGGTGTACCACTACAGACATGCCACCTTGGTGTAATGCTTCACACAACAAGTCAACAAGTCAGTAAGATTATATTAACTTTGATTTTGTCATGTAATAATTCAAGGATGCAAAGAGGGTATGTTTACTAATATTTCAATAGTGCAAACCTTAGATTTTCAAGATGTTTCATAGGACTCTGTCAATAAGAATAAGAATCACAATAATATATAAGTATTAAATCTACTGGATTTCTATTTAATAACGAAAATATTTATCAAACTGTAATGGAAAAACACTGGAGAGTTACTGACCATTAATGTCCATTCTCTTCACTCCTGAGGCTGGAGTAAAGGGTGTGTTGGCCAGTGTAGCCTGGTTAGGCAGGTTCTGCAGGATAGCTTTCCTGAAATGTACAGCATCTTCGTTAAACTGTATCAGCCGTTACCTCACTGATGTGTTATATTTGAATGTATTGACCAAACACTCAGTGAATGTATATACATTTGGATACTGATCTGGCTATCTGAATAGTTGAAAAACTGGAAAACTTGAAAAATATTTGATAATAATAAAACACCATAAACGAACTATGACAGTCTTCTAGTGAAAATGTTTTCTCAAAACCTACATTATTCAGTTTTACTATCGAATGTGTGATTAGTTTAACAGAACAACAGTTCTGATTGAAAATGAATTTCATTGTACTGAAGACAAACTATAAAGTACTTTTTGTGAGCTGAGAAAGGCAGTGTTTCTCCCGATGCTTTGCGCTTTCTCATGACTACAGGTGTAGCCATACACTCAGCGTCTGTGGGAAGGCAGGTTGGGGCTTGGGCCACAGTACTCTGGTCGTGAGCCATGCTTGCATGACTCATGTTGCTGTATGCACTTGTTTGACTCATGTTACTGGCCTGACTCATATTTCCAGCCTTCCCATCTGTACTCTTCCTCCACTTGGTAATACTCTGTGCAATGGTACTCACAAGACCTGTTGTACATACATACATAATTAATCACACAGATATGAACTGTCTGTGTTTTCATTCATGTTACAAAAATTTTAATGTTTTCTGATGATGATTGTTCATCAACCATTCATTGTAGTCACTGTTAAACATCCAGTAGATCTACACGCCCATCCATCTCCTTTGACACCTGTTATAACACCAGTATATGAGCTTGGTTAGCAAAGTATGCATAAATATCAACATCTTTATAACATATAGTCCATTCTTCATAAACACATAAATATCAATGTTTTCTTCTAGGAAAATAGTTAATATCTATCTGATAAGGAGATTTCCAGTATTTTAAATTTCAAACTGATCATCCCATCCTACAATAACACTATGGCATCAAGATGTCATGTTTGCGTGGAATCTAAAATCATCCCATCCTACAATAACACTATGGTATCAGGTATTATTATGTCATGTTTAACAATAATCCAACCATTTATCTGGATGTTCTCTTCACAAAAATTTCTGGAGTCGCTCAAATGAGTATCTCACTGGACCCAATTTTCTGTAATATTTTTGGGAACTCTACACCTAATTGAACACCCATATTTTTATGTGCCCTTAATGTTCTCAGAAGCTCAACCAATGTTTGGAACACAATATTTTGATCACAAGATTGTGCTCTCTATTGAAATCCTTATAGGATTATATATTCTGCATCAAAAGTCAGGATTAAGACACCCTAAAAGAATTGGAAAAGCAAATACATGAAGACATACATCTACTTAGGCATGTTCAAAAAATTAATAATCTTGGGCTCTAATTACCCTGAAATGATCCTGAACGCTTTCTCTTTTTTTCTTTCTTACGACAGTCTCGTGATTCCTCAAGTGTGTCTTCCGTCATATCGAGTTCATCGTCAGTTCCAAACACCTCAGTCATCAACAATGCCCTCTCCTGGAGACTGTCAGAGATCATTCCAACACTGTCTGCACTCCGAATCAACAACTCCACAACTGATGTCTGTACCTACAGAGAGGTACAGGAACTTAAAAAAACACTGTATTCCAAAAAGATGTAAATGGCATGTCTTTCTAATTCTTAAAGAAATCTTAACTATTTTTTCTCACAATTCAACTCATATATCTATATTGTAGATCTCTAAATATCCCACAGAAAAACTCAACTTGAACTGACCGAAAAACTACTTATAGATAAATCTGTAAGATAATAATGTGATTTCTTATTGTGAAAAATGAAAAAGTCAATTGGAATTTACTTATTTAGAAAACATCCATTCAAATTTATTTCAAAAGATGTTGAGAACAATTCTTATCTTGTAATTTTAACACAAAATTAAGAGACCCAAAATTATTACTGTTGTTCTACAGGTAATACAACCAATGTAGGTTTGAAGTGCGAGATCGTCAGAGGTGATATTAGAGGTGTGATAAAAAATATTGTATGTCTTCCTAACTAAATAATGCAGTAAGTGTCTAACCTGGAGAAGTTTCTCTTCTGAAGAGTTCATTTTCTCACTCTTGTTGTTGATATGCATCATGTTAGGTGCCAGGACGACGGCCAAGTTGGTGGGGTCCATCTTATTCTTATCCGAGTGACTTGCGATTTCAGACAAAAGCTTCATCATGAATCTGAAGTTAATGTTAGGGTACGAATTACTGGAAATTCACAGACCTAAATCACATGTATTGTAAATTACAGAAATGGAAATTAGTCCTACAGAAATTGTCTTTCTCTCTTCGATATGAAGACAAAACTTCATATTGACAGTGAAGACATGAATGGAATATGCTGTAAGTGAAGACACTTAATAACATTTAATTAACTTTGTCTAGTACTCCAATATCAGGGTTAGAAAAATCCACTCGTCCAGATGTGTCAAAGCTACTTGCGGGCGAGTGATTTGTTTCAGCTACTTGTCCGGCTGGCGAGTGAAATTTGTAGTTCTGACTACAGAATATTCCATAATAAATGACGTTTATCAACTTAAACACTCTTAAAACTAAAATCCACTGATAGTCTATCAAATACATCGATGTAGTATCCTTGTTTACACAACGTGTCAAGACTTGGGCTGATCCAGACTACACGAAAACCTATCACGTCACCACAATGTTGTAAACAAGGTTGTTTTGTGTACGTAGTTACTGTCAAAAAGTCAACGTTCTCGCTCGCATTAACAGCAAGTGTTAAGTTCAAACATTTGATATAGAAATTGATGATAAAATTTGTGTTCCTTAAAATATGGTCTGTTGCCTTTTTTCTTCGGTTGGGTGAATATTGGATTCGGGCAAGTGAATTTCAAGTTTCCCTTGCCCGACAGAGGAGTAGCTGAATTTTTTTTTTCTACCCCTGAATATGTTAGCATTTTACTTCACTTTTTCTAGGGACATATATTCTGGAAAGAGTGGAGTTATATGACAGAATTTGGACATAATTCCTGACATGGAATGAAAAAGTGAGCAAGTTTTATAGTATCCTCCTGTCTTAATGAATACCAGTCTGCATGCAGGTTGAAGGCTGATGAAAGTCCTGTACCACAACCCGCATTTAGGCTGATATGATTCCTATCTCAGAATACTACAAACTGAGAGTAGGTCGCAGCGAGACCTACCTTGGTATGCCACAAACTGTGTAGGTTGGTGTTAGTCCTCCTTTAACCTACCACAACCTGTTAAGGTAGATGTCAGTGCCACCATAGTGTAGCACAAACTGTGTAGACAGATGTGAGTCCTACCTCAACATACCATCAACTTCATGTAGATTGATGCCAGTCCTATTCTTGCATAACCACATACTTTGTGTAGTTTGAATTGAATCTTTATCATAGTGTACAGCAAACTATATGTAGATTACCACAAGTCCTACCTTAATGTACAGAGGTGTTCCCCAGGAAGCAGGAGACACAACAGGAGGACAGCCTGGTGTGAAGTCTCTGTGTTGCCAAGCTGGAAACACTTGATAAATGTGTCATGATAAGTGCTAGTAAAGAGGGGTTCTGGCAGCATGCGAAAGAACTGTTTGATCAAACTTGTTACATCAAACACATTGGCTTCTGATACACTTTTCCCTTGCTCAATTTGATGCTGTAAATAAGCAAAACAAACAAAATTATCAATCATCTGTGTATTCTACTTTCTTTTTTTACATCTCATTTAAAAGGTCAAATAAATGTTATAGGATAAACAAAATGTTACTATTCATTTCTGTTCCTGTTCCAAAATAAATCCTAAGATTATGAAATTGCGGCAAGTAAAATTTAAAAAGAAAAATAACAAAACTAAATTCAGAATAAAATTAACATTGCTGCAGAACAGTATAGCTTGTGTACTTTATAAACTGAATTTGTTTCCCAAGTTACCTGCATGTTTATATTAAATTTCAATAATAGTTAAGTTTAATAAATACAATTAAAGAAGAGAAAGTACAAAACATGTCTTAATGTAGGAAAGGATCAGTATACTAGCACAATTATAAAGTGATGTCATTTTAACACAAATATCTTAACATCATATCAAAACTCGCATCCCATCTCCTCCACCACAAAATACCCCTTTAAAACCCACTCCAGGAAGGGTCAGTTAAACCACAGAAGAACCCTACTACAAAATATCAGTATCCTACTACATTTACAAAATAATGTACTAATGTCTTGTAAGACGTGCACCAAAATCTTAACATTTAAAAACCATTGCCATTGTTAGAAGGACAACATAAACTCTCCCTCTTCTCTGAAGGGGCAAGCGATATCACTTCTTGACATCTAATAAAACAATGTTTAAGGAGAAGTGTAGGATGCATGCAAAGCATAGTAACCATAAAATCATTGTGGTTATGTAAAATGTAAAACTAATTACAGACGGGTATATGTAAACGATGACTTAAAACTTGGAACTAGTCTTTACGTGAGTACCTGTAGCTCCTTCTGCCGACTGACAGCACCAGACTTTCGAAACAAGCCTTCCTGCTCAATATTTTTTCTGATAAGAATTGCAGCATCAACCAGAAACCTATAAGAGTAAAATCTATGACATAATTTGTAACAATGAAAATAACAAAATCCCTTAAATTTGTAATTAAAAGACTGTTCTGCTAGTCATTTTAAAAGTACCTTCTTTTACCAGTAAAATACAGATTAAATCTGGGTAAACTGTACTAAATTCAGTACATTTCAGTGTTTTGCTAAGAAACAGTTATAGGATATGTAAACAATGCAAACTTCTATATATGCACATTATGTGTCATTGTAGTGAAAGTAATAACACTAAAGGGAAGAACATCAACACAAAACTTCTAAAACAGTTGCCCTGCTTAATATGTATATCATCCATTAATCAGCTTAGCAATTCAGATGAGGCATTATTTCCAGAGACTATGTTTTTTGCTCCCAGTAAACTATGCATGGTTGCCCTAATGATAGCAATGCTTGTTTAACATTTGGTAAAGATCAATCACAATAAATTTTGATGTTATTTTGTTGTGTTATAATTTGAATTTGTCAATATCGACAGTGATCAAAGGTGGCACTGCTAGCCATAAGTACAGTATACCTTGGTACATAGCCACAGTCCTCTTCATGGATACACGACACATGTGACAGATAGTTTCCAAATATTTTGTCATCTTGTTTATCCTGAAAACAGAAGAAAAAGATCCTTTTCAAGTTACACACAAATTTCAAACCAATGTCAAATGCTCCAAAGGTTTCATTTTGATCAATAAAATTAAAATGTTTGTATCCAACTGTTAGTATCATCAACATCTACTGTTTGAATTATGTGTGGGTTTGTGCGATTGGTATACCTATGCTTGTAAGGTAGAGGAATAGTGTGCATGTGCATAGGCAGGTTTGAAATACTGACATGCAGGTGTGCGATAATACTGATGTGAAACACAGTTCACGGTAAGTACGAATTAATTTTTCAGTTTATTTAAACTTTGATTAGTTTATCTGTACACATGTGCTTCGTTCATTGTGTAGTAAATGATGCATTGTGGTGTATTAACTTCTATATATGATCTAGGTCAGGTTTTCAATATTGTGTTGTTTACAGGTAAAGAATGCATGCATGGAGGTGACAGAGTAATAGTATTGTATCATGTACGCACGAGTTGTTTACATCATATTAAGCTGAATGTCAGTGGATATTGTCAATAATTATGTTCTAAAATCAGGTTTTAATTTGTAAATGTGTATGTAATATTAAGTACTGATATTCACATGTGTTTGTTATGTAATAGTTTAGAATGCTATATTCTATTAATTATATATGTAAGATTATTATATTGTTTTATTATAATTTATCATAGGTTCTTACTCATCCGTTGTAGCTTTTACTGTCCCCTTGATTCCAACACATAGCCGTTGTTGGACAGAGAACTATGGAAGCCAATAAGGCTAAGCGGAATCTTCATACATGTATTCATTGATCATTGTATTCACTACATAAAGTATGGAAGCTGAAAGCACTCGTCATATGATTGTGGCACAAGTTTGCTAGTTGCTATGACATTCTGATACTGGAGGGCAGATTAGCTATGTTGTTGACTGGAGCATTTTGACATTGTATGATCGTTGTTTGATGAGGAGCAGAGACTCCGACTTTCCGTGATATCCAGCTGTAGGACTGATGATTGAAAGCTATGGACTGTGATCCTAGCTTTTTAGTTAGGGTATTGTGTATTATAGTGTATACATATGAATATCTTGTGAGATATCATATGCTGTTGTATTTATGAGTAAAGTATGAGTGCGGGGTATGGTATATCTATTAGGGTTGCTTAAACTTTATGTAAGAAATTAAATGTAAAAAGTTGTATCCAGATGTTATTAATTTGTTGTTTCATAATTGTAGGCAATAGCAATCAGCTATGTTGACAGAGATGGGCTCTACTTCCTGATCTCTACCTGGAGTGTCATTAATTACTTGGAGAAATATCCTGTGCCTGCACACTCACACTGATTCCTTGGCCCTTCATGAATTGTTTCCTATTGACCTATTTTATTATCTACACAATAAAGAGTAAGGATGCAAGTAGTCCTTCAGCAACCAAACCAAATACAAAAAATACTACAGTTCTCAGAAAAATACTCCTTATGGGTATCATGTGGATTAATCCTTCAAAACTGAAATTGAGTCCATAATTTTGCGGGATTTTTTCCTTTGGTTTTAAATCTTAAATTCGCTAAAATGTAGTTTGGCTTTTTAAAAATTATAGAAGTTGTACCCTTGGTAGCTACTAACTGGTTCTACTCCCTATCCACAATTTAATTTTTGTCTCGGTTGTGGATGATAGTCAAGTGATTAAAAACAAGTCATTAGAATTGTTATAACTCATTAAATTGATGTATTTAGTATTTGGTATTCAGCAATAAACTTGAAAGGGTCTCATGAAAATAAATTGTACATTGATAACTGGTACATGTCTTGAAGTTCAAAACTGTATACACCATAGAAGAGCAGTTTCTCCTAATTGGTATATTAAGACTTACATAACAAAATGTCCAATAACAGATGTGATTACTCGAAACTTGATGGTCATACAAAAAGAAGCCAATACCAAATGAACCCAAACTCATACCATATTCTCAATGTAGTGCAACGCATGTAAATGCAACTGAAAAATAATTACAACACATATCAAATTTCATGTATTTGATAATGAAAGTCCGAACTTGTTACAGGAGCACTCATGTGTGCTGAAAGCAGAACGCTCCAGAGTAGGCCTAAATCAAATATAAACAAAGGGACCCCCAGGCGTTTGGGCCAGCATGGTTGTTCGGTCGTAGTCCCGAGTACACTCGCTTTTAATTCGATTCAGCTATCAGACACACATATCGAATAATCAGAAACAGCAATAGATGTGCAATACTTAAGGAACATTAAAGAGCATGCACACTCATTTTCGTTAATTAGCGAAACCGATTTCAAACCTGTGTTTTCGTGTTGAATTTTTTCGACTTCTTCCCTTTTGGTACTTTAATGCCCAGTTCCCTTAGATCTTGTCTTATTAGGGCACGAAGATTGTCCGTGTTATCTATATATGTTAAATGCTTCATCCTAATATTGCTGTAACAAATGGAATAAAACCATCAAACGTATATTTTCCATCTTAGCTTCCGTCCGTCATACTGATTGCCTCCATATTCAACTTTAAATCTCGCACCTTATCGATTCTGATTGGATGATGGTTTTACGTCATGACGAGATACTTTCAGAGCTTTTCTTTCGAGATGATGATCGCACCCGAGTATGTTCCGAATAAGTATGACAGTCAAGGGAGGTTACTCACGAATACTACCGAAGCAGAACTTGTTTAGCTCCGTGGTCACCCAGCCGTTTCAAAACAACACGTCAGACTTCATACATGCATGATGGTATATTTATAAACATTTGCTGTCAGAACCTCAAACGCAATGTGCCGACACAGACCTCCCCCTTAATGTCCTAATTACACGTCAGAGACACGAAGTGACCACCAGTGCAGAGCGGACATAGGAGCCTAATATTCAGGTCATGGCTGCTGTCTTGTGCAACATCCAAAATCAAAAGGTTAGTGTCTTCAGCTGTTTGTCACTTCTTCTGTATCTTCTAACTCTGTGTATCGCTTAACCAACACTCATATGGTGCCGAAAATGCAACGTCAATAACGCGCTCGCTTTATGTATCTGATTAATATGCATACAGTAGGCATACCCTGGTGGAAGGCTATTTCAGGTTGCCTCCGAAAACAATTTCTCATCATTTGGCTACTACACGAAATGGAATAGTTTCCTACTCCATGGTAGTCCTATACAGTAGCCTACTCATTGTTATGGTGGATGCTAGAATTTAATGGATTTTGTAATGTCATGGATTATGTTTAAAAATATATGGCACCATAAATGAATTTGTTATGAATTAAAACAATACAATATACTGTATATACATACACATATATTGTATATAGAAGAATATATAACAATACATCTTATGTCCAATATGATACAGAAATATCATGCTTCACACACTTTGATTCAATTATTTTCATTCAATATAGTACAACTACATGGGTGCCAATGCAACAGAGGTCTATATTTATTTCAATGTCTCTGCTAGGATTTGAACCAGAAACCTCTGGTTTACACTGAAATTGATGGAATTGTTCTTAAGATTTACATATTTCAAGCCTTATACATGATATAATAAACAATTTCTTACAAGTTTCATTTATGTCAAATGAATTGAAATGTAGCTTATTAAAAAAAATTGATATGGGGATATAGTCACTTGATATCTCTGCTTCATGGTGAAATCACATTGCATATGACACCATGAAGTTATGATGTCAAAATGGAAATTATGAGAACCTTTAGCAAATCAGAGCTCTGCTATATGTAGGTCACATAACATGTATGATAACAAAAACATGTACTGGTTGTTGTTACACTAATAACATATTTGAAGTTATTTGATTAATGACATGTATGTATGCAATTAAGAATATTATGCATTTAATGAGAAATTTGATAAAATATGGAAATGAAATGTCCTGATGAAGGCTCTGTAGTGCTTGAAACATATTGACAACATCTTAAACTTTTAGTTTCTCGTATAATTACTGTAACATTAAAGGACAGTGGTCAGTCCACCTATAATCAGATGTTATGCATGATTTCATTTACATTTGCAATTGTCTGTCAGAAGCATTTTGCTGTGAATTACACAATATAACATGTAGACATGTTTCCATTCTCTGATGACTTAGCCAAGTTTATGGGTATATAAAATTTAACAATATTTTCCAAGTGCACATAAAATGACATATGGATAATGCATAAAATTGAAACTAGCAATATAGCGACAAGTAATTGAAATGAAATTACTCACTTATTTCAGGAAAACATTCATAATTTGTGTACCTGGTAAGAGAGTGAATGTTGAGTATAGGACCTTAAAAATTCAGACTTGTATTGTCACGGGAAACTCATATGGTTTACTGAACCAAACATGTACTACCTCAGCAGCCTAAACATGGTCATATTCTAGCATATATAAAAGACTTGAACTTTAATGTTTCATTCAATACTAGTACTATATATATATACTTTTTTGACTGAGACTATAAGAAAAACCTGTTTAACTTTACAATGTAAGGGATTTAAGAATTGATGTTCTGTTTTGATGGAGTTTTAAATTAAGCAAGACAGGTTACTGCATATTCTCAGATTTTTTTTCTCTGTTGCAAAACAACAATATCAGTCATTGTTGTCCTCAGTTATTGATTCATTCAAAATAAACAGGAACAACTTTGAAGAATACTTCTATCAACATGTTTCACCATATGAATTCGCAATATTAATCTCATTAGCAGTCCTAGAAATGTCAACTGAATGACTTGTGTTTCCACTGTATAACCACTTGTTCAATGAAAGGCCTATCACATAACAATCATAGAGTGACTGGTACACCAATGAAGTAGACACTCCATAAGAACATTGACTTATTTATACTCTTTTACATTGTGTATTAGGTGCTTTCAACTTTATCAGATATCAACATACATGTTTAATTGTTACTGTATAGAAACTATGTATATACCTATATTTTACAATATGTGGAGATGATGTGTTATTATACCCCTTGCAATGAAGTTGGCAGTATACTGGAATCGCCCTGTCTGTCTGTTGTCTGCAAATTGTCCTCCAAATCTTCCTAAACCGATGAACCAAATCTAATGAAACTATTTCCCGATTTCAACCAGATTTTGTACAGAGAGATTTTAGGGAATATCAAAATCTATTTTCAACTGCTTTTGTCTTTTTCGTGGAGTTTTTACCAAATTTGGTATATAGATGTCTTTGATTCTGTGACTGATATTTGTTATCCTCAGGATGACAGTTCTAGTTGTGGATAGGGATCAATTGCCAGAGGAAATTAATTGTTTATTGTAAAATCATTTATTTTCATGGGGGATCTATTTTCATTGAATTTATGGATACTCTAAATCCCCAAATTTACAAGTTAACAAAATAATAGATGGATAAAGATTGACATAAGGTAGAGTACTAACTGATTCATAACAAGATATAAACATAAAATGCCAACCTAAATGTATTTGTAAACCATAAAATTTGAACCCCACAAAAATATTTTACAGTACTTCACAAATTTGTTGTTAAAGGGAATTTGAGTTACTGAAGCTTTTTTTAGTTATGATGATATAACTACATGAAAACCTGTATATTCTAAAGTAGTGAAAGTTATTAACTTTACACTTATTCAACATCTCATGTCGAAAGGGTAACCTAAAGATCTTAGATAACAAAAAGTTTTGAAGCGTTAACTGGGATCAGCAGAATGAAGATTAATTCCACCAATCAAAATAAAGCATGTGCAGTGGAGTTGATTTGTATTTAGACATTATTTACTCCTGCACCCACTTTACATAAGGATATTATGTCTTTACAATTCTTTAAACTGAACTTTGAACAATACTTTAGCTTTTGTTTACATAACACACGAAGGAGTTATTGGATATGTAAGTGTCCAGGCATGGAAACATTATACATAATACATGTAGGTGCGGTTCATTTCCCATATCATTTTGTTGCTGTTCACCAAGTTTTTTTTAGAATAATCCTAATTTTAGGCCTAGAATTTGAAAAATGATAATGTGGTTTGTTTCTGACATTGAACAAAGGAACGCCCTTTCTGTTACTTTGTTAATTCAGACTGATTACCAAATTACTATGCAATTCCATGAGAAGGAGAAATTGGGTAAACATACACAGGAACCCATTACTGATCATTAAGTAATTATATGATATGCCTTAGATTTAGTTACATTTAGACTTTGGTGTACTTAAGTTATTTATCAGTGTCCAGCTTCATATAATGTGTTATTACTGTGACTTTCATTATTTTATCAGTAAATGACTATTGCAGGGGAGATAACACAGGCCAGCATTTAGTGTCAGTACACACAAGTACTGTGATATACATTAAATTTTTAGTGGTTTGTATATACAAGTATTCACCATTAGACAATATCATAAAATATTTATTAAGATTTGATATCAGACAAATATTTTACCAGTCACTAGATCCCTGAAAAGGAAGTAATTTTTACAATTTAGCTTTTTGTAATTGATCCTGATTAGCAGATTAGAGCAGTTGAATATATGATAAAAACCAAAATATTTACAATGACCTACTGCTATTACTTAGATTATTGACACCTATTACTTAAAAATATTATGTGTGCATAATTTTTTCACCAACTATCAATTTCATAATATAGAAACCTATGGTCAGTTTGAGCAAAATCAATTAGATATTGTTGAACCCACTCAAAGTGCACAAAGTAAAATTACCGGCATCTAAAAACACTCATTAATCACCAAGATAGGAAACTCCTGATTGATGAAGATAATGACTTGAATGGCTTGTTGGGAATATTGCAAAAATTGTCAACTGAAATGGCAGGTTTTATTTTGTTCTTCATTACATGAGATATTGTACTGAAGATACCATGAAAACACTGTTGCTCTTTTCGGTACACATGCCAAGATTCTGGCGGTATCATTTGCTTACAATAGTCATTTACAACCTACTATCCTAGCTCAATGTTTACTGGATGTAAGTGATCGATGATTATTTCTGTGCCAATATCCCTATTAATAATTAGGAATATATACAATCTCACTAAGTGTTTGAATGATTAAAATTAACTGTATCTGCTTGATGGTTCGACCCTCACTCCTTGTGGTAGTTTGTGTGTCTCAGGAAGCGGAGTTTATGAACTAGTGTGTAATGACATGGTTTTCCTTGGGCGACAGGTTTTACCCTAATTGTGCCATATAACATGTTATGGGCCTCCCGTATGTGGTCCAGTGATATAACCACCAGCTACTACAATTAGACTCCACCTCAGATGACCCTGGCTGTTCATGGGGCATTAAATAAAACAAACAAACTGTTTTTTAGAGATGTCCTCTTGTTGTATGGGATTTGAAGTAAGATTAACCAGGTCTGATGTTAGGCATTCTAGAGCTGTTACTGTACTTACACATTTGATGAATAGCTGCAGTAATTATCTATTGATTGACACTGAACATCTGTAGTCAGTACAAATAAAGCCTGTAGCTTTGTTGTCCTGTTCTCAAATTAAATGTGATTGTCTGAATTGGACCATTATATTGTTTGAGGATAGCTAATGTCACGTTGTCGTAATCAGTGTACTGCTTCATCAGTTGCTGCTGTGATAAGAGCAGGAAGTCCAAGGCATTAATGGAAATGATACAATTTGATTGGTTAATTACTTTCTAGTAAGCATCCAATCACACCACACTGCCATAAAAAATAAATATATGTATCCCCAGGTACAACATTTGCTTTCTAGAAGGCATTGTAATAATCTACAGATATCAGTTCTTCATGGTTTTTTTTTCATTTTAGTTAAGCATAGAAAAATCTAATGGCATGCCATTGTGGGGTCAAATATTGTATATTGATATATGTTAAGTGGTTTTCTGTGTGTCAAGTTGAGTCTGAAATGTTTTGAAAAGAGT